TTTACATACCAAATAACTAAAATATAAGAGTTGAATAAGAATAGAACAAAACTGAACCAACATTACAAATTAAAATTATATATATACATATATTAAAAACATACAAATCCCCTAGAAGGAACAAATAGAGTGAGGAAGAAAACCGAGAAAGGGAGAAAAAGAGATTTAGCGAAGACACTTCTGCTGATATTCCACAACATCAATTCACTTTCTCAAAAAAAGCAACTTGAGATATCAAAAATAATAATAATAAGTATGAGCTATCAAAAAGATTAAGAATATCTGATAGTTCCAACAAATGGATTTTTGCTGCTGCCGAACAACTTAACTATCAACAAGACATTGGTGACTGTTGATACAAAAGGAATGGTGCGAGAGTAAAATAACATAACATTGACTTTTCCATCCAATAAATATTTAATAATGGATACATTTTTATGTAGTATACCTTGTAAGAAGAATTGCACAAAGGAGAGTGATGAGATTGTCTATAAGGGGATTGATAACATCTGCTGGATCGTTTGGTAAAGCAAAGAACCCTAAAGTCGCCTGTAGAAGTTACAAAGAATATTTATAAGAGGAACTCAATCTAGATTAAAGAAAAACTAGACCTTAGTGAAGCATAATATCGGACACCAAAACATGTACCTTCATAACATGATTTCTAGTTTCAATTGTCAGCTTTGGTTCAACAGAAACCAAGGTAGTGCAGGCACTTAATGCAAGGGCCTATAGAAGCACATGTAAATACGAAGCTGAAAGAGATCTAATGATAGCTAATTTAATGGAGAACTATAAATCAACATGTCAGTATATAGTTGCTATAATCAATTGACACACCTGTGTGTGTAGAAGTTCAAGACTAGAGTCAGTAACACCATCATTTTCATCTCGGCCCATTAAAGTTAAGACGTAGTCAAGCATCACATCTCTTCTCTTCAATGGAAATGATGCACCATTATCTGAAGCATTAATGACGGCACAACCTGCATGAAAAACAAATAAAGTAAAAGGACTATGTTGTCATATTCACAAGATTGAGTATTGCATAAATCATATTGCCAAGTAATCAGCATCTTTGTGACTTTGTAGTAAAAAGCAAAAAGAATTTACTTTCCAGTAAAAAATTACATTTCTACTAAAACATAGTACACAAATTCAACAAATAGTAACTTTATGTAAGTTGATACAAACCTAGTAAGTTAATAGCAGTTATAACAGCCTGCTTTGCCGTAGGATGCCGAACATGAAGAAGCCGTGAAAGCATATTAGTTCCCTGTGAGCCACAGAAGAAAATGATTTAACCTATCCACCATGAAATATGACCAAACAGCTAACTATTACATGATGGGAACTCGTCCTCAAACAAGAACGAAAATACCTAAATCAATAAAACTTGTTATCTATTGAATAGAATATTATGTTACCTAATTAGTCAAAGATATTTTTCCCTGTATTATGTAGTCAACTAGAATCTCTACTATTATGTCAACTTTCTTATTTGTAGTTAGAAATTTTGTATATATACCACAATTGTAACAACATAATGTGAATCAGAAATAAAGTAAATATTCATTAGTCCAAAATCAATATAATATCAGAGTAAAATAGAGATATTTTAGAGTTTTAATTTTAGAGTTTCTTTCAAACCCTAAAATATTCTCACCACCCACCCAAACGGAATCCTAGCCTCACCGGCAGCCTGCTGCCCATTCCAGTGACCTTCTCCGCCCTACCCGATCCCTCTATTCCAGTCGCACCTGGCTGTTTGTACTGCTTCCTCGCGCACGGTCTCTTGTTCGCACACGCCCAACCCGACCCATCTTCTGGTTCCTTCGCCCATGGTTGTTGCTCCTCACGTGGTCGCGCGCGCATTTCGGCCTCCTTTGGGTTCTGGTTTCACATCCGCTCTCCAATCGGTCTCCTCAGCTACGTGAATTTGGCCGCGTCACGCCAGCAAGTTTCACGCGGCCGCACGCGATTTTTGTCCTCCCTGCCACACATTGTCGCGATCTGGTCCCCCCCGCGAACTCCCAGCAAGTTCTGCCATCTGCCAGCAGGTCCGCCCGATCTGGTCACGATCTGCCCTTCCTCAGCGTGCGGCTACCATTTGTTTCCAAAGCCGACGTGAGCTGCTGAGCTGAGCCATTTTTTGGCATCCTCGGTGCTGATCAATGACCTTTCTATCTACTTGAGATTAGCAATTGGGTATTTTTCATTCTCTATCTCTAGCTATCTTTAAAAATGATATGAGTAAAGAAATTGGTTGTTCCAAGTTCAGATAACCATTCATCAACTATTGGTACGTCAAAAATGGAAAACTCATGTATTGCTCATATCCCTACTATGTCTAATTCTGATACTTGAATTATAGACTCTGAAGCTAACAGATACATGACAGACTCTTCTAAAAATTTTCTAACTTATTTTCTGTACACTCAACGAGAAAATATTCATATCGCAGATAGATCATACACTCCTATATCTAGAATAAATTCTATTAATTGTACTCCGACCATTACACTATCTTCAATCCTTCATATATCTAGTTTTCCTAACAGTTTTTTATCTATTAGTGTCCTTACTAGATATTTTAACTGTAAAATTGAGTTTTTTCGTGATTATTGTGTCCTTCAGGATCTTCAAATAGGGAAGACGATTGACACTAGTAAACTACAGAATGATTTATATATCTTGAATAAAAGTCAAAGTGTAACTGAGAATCAAGCTGTCTTCAAAGATACGGATGTCAGTAGGAAAATACTCCAGTCGCATTGACGGTTGCCATGTCCTTCTTTCTTTATGGATTCCTTATTTTGCAATACATATGAATTAGCTAAACATAAAAAGAGTTCACATCATGTGAGTAACCATAGAAATCCTACCTCTTTTATAATTATTCACTCTAATGTTTGGGAACCTACTCAGAATATATCCTTATCTGGCCATAGATTGGTTTATTACTTTCTGAGTTATCTGATGATATGGATAAACCCACTACTCTTATAACATGAGTCAGGTCTTGTACTAAACATCCTATGTCCAATTTTGTTTCTTTCTTATGACTCTTTATCTTCCCTCGATAGAAGTTTTTTTTTATCTGTTTCCTCTGTATTTATTTCACAAGATTGGAAAGAAAGAGATCTCAAATGGAAAAAAATCATGATTGAATAAATAAGAGCATTGGCAAAAAATAAAAGATGGAAACTTATTTCACCTCCACAGGAAAAGAAGATGATTGGTTACAAATGAGTGTTCGCTATAAAATACAAATCAGACAGGTAAACTGAAAGGTACAAATCTACACCAGTAGCCAAAAGATTTACTCAAACCTATGGAGTTGATTATCAGGAGACCTTTGCCCATGTCGCTAAGATAAATAAAATCATAATATTATTGTCTTGTACTGCTAAACTTGACTAAGACTAGCAACAGTTTGATATCAAAAAAGTTTTTTTCCATGGAGACTTAGAGGAAGAAGTATATATGAAAATTCCACCTGCATTTCATGATGAAAGAACCCAAGGAAAGATTTGCAAATTAACGAAAGTCTTATATGGATTGAAGCAGTCTCCAAAAACATGATTTGAAAGGTTTAGAAGAGTTATGATCTCTTTTGGATATCAACAAAATAATGCAAATCATACTCTGTTCATCAAGCATTGTGAGGGTAGAGTCACTCTTATCATTATTTATGTAAATGATATTGTGGTGACTGTAGATGACACAAAGGAGATGACTCGATAGAAAAAACTTTTTATTCAAGAGTTTGAAATAAAGAATTAAGTAAAATTACAGTATTTTTTGGGGATTAAAATTGTTAGATCTAATAGAGCAATCTTCATTTCTCAAAAAAAGTACATCTTGCACTTATTAGAAAAGATTGGTATGATGGATTGCAAGGCAGCAGAATCTCCTATTGAAAGCAATCACAAACTTGAAGTAAGTAGTGGTACATCAGTTGACTTGAGGAGATATTAGAGATTGCTTGGAAGACTCATTTATCTTTCACGTATCAAACCTGATATAATATATACTGTGAGTCTAGTGAGTCAGTGCATGTATGATCCTCGTGAGCCTCATTTACATATTATTTTTCGCATATTACGATATCTAAAATATACACAACGAAAAAGTCTATTCCTATTAAAAAATGGTCACCTTAAGATAAAAACATTTACAAATGCCGATTGAGGTGGATCTCCGGATGATAGAATGTCAACTACCGCTACTGCACACTAGTAGGAGGTAACTTGATTACATGAAAAAGTAAGAAATTGAGTGTGGTTGCCTACTCCAGTGCTAAAGCAGAATATAGAGCAATGGGTCAAGAGGTATGTGAATTATTATGGTTACAAAGTTAGTAGAAGAATTAAAACTGTCCAAAGAAAGAAGTATATCCTTGTTCTGTGACAATAAGGTAGTCATTAGCATTGCTCATAATTCAGTTCAACATGACCGGACAAAATATATTGAAATTGACCAACACTTCATAAAAGAAAAAGTAGTTGATGGCTCCTTATACTTATATCATGTGCCTTCAAGTGAACAAGTGGCAGATGTCTTCACTAAAGAACTTTATAACAAATATCATTACAACTTGATCTACAAGTTGGGCATGTGTGACATCTTTACATCAACTTGAGGGTGAGTGTTGAATAGAATACTATGTTGCCTAATTAGTCAAAGGTGTTTTTTTTTGTATTACGTATTCAATTAGAATCTCTACTATTATGTCAATTTTCTTATTTGTAGGTAAAAATTTTGTATATATACTCAAATTGTAACAATGTAAAGTGAATCAGAAATAAAGCAAATATTTATTCTCCAAAATCAACACTATCAAACCGTCACTATACTAGAATATACTCCTAGTATGTTCTAAGAAGTGAATGATAACCAGTTAATGGTATAGACATTTTTTTTAATTGTAGCAGTAAGGTTACCTTCAGGATAGTACAAGTGTTACAAGACTAATACTGCTACTATGCTCTAAAAATTGAGTCAAGACAATATTCTCCAACATCAATGGGCTATGCTGAAGTGAATCAGTAAATATAAGAATTGGACACCGGTATGCAATAGTATTATCATAATAGGATATATCAATTTCACCTTGAGCCCCAGTTATCACAGATCTCTTGACACATTTCATTAATAGTTGACCAAGCCCAACCCGATTAACACTTCACAAAATTTTAAAAGGCATCCAGAACTGCGTACTTCATAATTGAACCTAGGTAAATGTGGACAGATGGACACATGCATGAAGCTGTTATAGAAGCTTCCTAAAGATGCAGCTTGAAACAAACCAAAGAACCAAAAGGCTAATGGTAGAGTAGCAAGTAGATCAGCCTTAAAAGAAAAGGCAAGCATACATGAAAAATATCTAAACTCATAAAAAGAACAGGTCAAAGTTGCATACAACAAGGGCATCTATTCTGGCTTCAATAACTGTTGATGGAGCATATCTTGCTGCATATCCATACATCAGAGCTAAAGCAGCATGTATATCATCAGAATCTTCCGTTTTACAGCTACCAGAGAAGAAAGCTAAAAGTCTGAAAAGGTGAGACACCAGACATCAAATCAGCTATTGAACCATACATTCTTCATTAAGAGAGAAAACAAGCATATTGAAGGTTAAATTAAGATGAAGAGAAAGAGACTTACTAATTTAATAGAGAACAATTAATTGATCAAACAACCAAGTATTTTTTCAGCAAAATATTTCTTTAAGCTTCTCTTTCCATTACCAAAAAGCATAATACACACCCCTCAGGTGTGAGATACATCTAATAAGATCTGAATAAACATAGCCATCTATTTATGTGGAAAACTTTCTACTTCTTCCGACCAAAACAAGCAGGAAAAAAAAGATATAGAAGAAACTACCATGATCTACATAATATATAATTTTCCATGACAAATTAAACATCACAGGGCCGTTTAGATGTAAGAAAATTTCCTGTTTTCAAGAATAAATTCAATTTTTCAGAAACAAAATAAGATACGTGTTAGTTTGACAGAAGCAAGCACAGATTTCTCAGAATTTCCTTTTGAATTTAGATAGAAAAACAGTTCTCTGATTTTCTTAGAAACAGAAAACATTCACTGAAACTAAATAGCCTCATAGTATCTGGAAAATATTCCTTGCCTTCAAGGAACCACTAGAATTATATAATATATAGTTTTCCATCAACCCTGGCTTGTTTCCTTGTTTTGATTAAATGCTATTTTTGTCATGAGGTCCCATGACTCAAAGTATGGTGATAGAACAAATAGGATCTAGAAAATATTCTTTGTTTTCAGTTTTGAAATAAAACTAAGACAAAAAGTCCCAACTGCATCATGACTAGACCTACAAAAGAAGAATTACCATGCATAAGAGGAATCAAAATGGGGAAAGGGCATGGGGAATTTTCTAAAAAAATATAAATGAACAATGCCTTTATTGTCTATCTAACTTCATGACTTTGATGGTGGCAATTAAATATGAGGTATAAATCATCTTTTTATGCTAGCACGCACCTTTGGAAAAAACTTTGCCCAACATTATCCAGAATGTCTTTCAGCTTTTCTAACACCGTATCTAAGTGGGATGCTGCAACCTAGGTAATAGTTAAATACACAAATTAGGGGATGAGAGAATGAAAAATAGAGAGAGAGAGAAACAATGAGAACACTTCAAGAAACTACAGAATTTTAACATACCAATCCCATCGCTTTTGCCAAACCAAGCCTATTCATTGGAATAGCTATATCAGCTTGTTTGTACATCCAGTCAATCTTTTCACGAACATAAACCCTGTCACTGATTTTCTGAAGAAGCACTCCCAGGCACCTGAAATAGAAGTATAGACCAGTTAAAAAGAAACAAGCTAAGAATATTACAAGACTTTGAATATGGATGCATTATGAAAACCTGGCAGTGCAAGCTTCTAAGCTCCTGGATAAGTCAATATTTGTGTTTTGGGTCAAAGAATAAGTAGATATATTTAAGAGAATAACAATAAGCACCGTAAGATATTAAGCTTAGATCCCATATCAACAATTCGTCAACTCCTCATGGATAATCCATCACTTTGAATCCCAAATAACATAAAATAAAATAAAACATGCTCTTGAGAATATATGAAGATACGTCTGAATCAAAGCTCAATGGTCAATATCCTTGTATACTTCATGTCTTTGGCTATCATCCTAGTGAGCATGGAAAAAGATTGGAGACGATTCAGTGCAGATTTTAATGAGAAGATTCATAAAATAAAAGGAGATATCATCTTGTGGCTTGGGGCATGGTGAAACTTCTGCCTCAAAATAGTGGTATGGGAGTGAGATCGTTGATTAAGTTTAATTTGGCTCTTCAAGAAAAGTGGATATGAAGGTTCATGAGGGAAAAGGAGAGTGTTTGGAGGAAGGTGGTTGCAACAAAGTTTGAGTTTAAGGTACATGGTTAGTTTGCTAGAAATCCCAAGGGGTCTTATTAGGGTAGGGTTGTGGAAGAAGGTTAATATGAGCAAGAATGAATTCTGAATTGTGTCCAGTGGAGTATTAGGTCGAGGGGTAAAGGGAGAATTTATGGAGGGATGAGTGGTTTGAAAGGGGGGCCCTCTGTATGCAATTTCCACCAATTTATGATTTAGCTTTGTATAAGGAGATAAGGTCCTCGAGAATGGTACTTGAACTATTGCTCCAACTAAAACCTTAATAATTAAGAAGTTAACAAGTATCTGAGACTTCTTAATTTAATTTCCAAAGGGAAGGAGGAGGAGCCTTTCTGGAGGTTGAATTTAAAAAGGTGCTTCTCGTCAATTCGTACTACTTCCATCTAACAAGAGAGAGGGTGTGAATGAGGATATTCCTTGGAAGATGGCGTGGAAAATTAAGGGCACCCCTAGAGTGGCTTTTTTGGTTTAGAAAGTAGTTTTTGGAACGTATTCTCAGTTTGGATAAATAGATCAAAATGGGCGAGATTCTGGTTAATGGTTATTACCTGCAGAAGAGCGGGCATGAGACATGAATTCACATTCTATTTTGGTGTCCCTTTGCTTACTACCTTTGGTCTTTGGTGTGTAGCTTTTTGGGGTTGAGTCAGGTAATGCCAGCGAAGCTCTGGGCTTGGAAAGGAATTCAGAGTAATAAGCAGTCTGTTAACCTTATCACTTTGCTACTTTTTGGGCCATTTTCAAAGAGAGGAATAGGAGGAGTTTTGATAAAACGATTCTAATTTTAATAGATCTAAAGATTCTTGGTTATAGATCTTGAGTTTTAAGGGTCAACCGCTTTACTCTTATGTGAATTTAGGAGACGTTACTTATAACTACTTGGTAGCTTTTAAGTTCTTTTGTACATGGCTTGTACCTCTTTGGTGCCATGAACATACATACTTTTCTTTCTTAAAAAATGAAGGTATTTCTGAATATCTCTCTTTAATTGCACATAGAAATGCCTACTATTAATATATGTAGCGGTGAATAAGCAGTTACATATTCATGTTTTGCTTACAAGGTTAGATGTTCATGTTAAATACTTGATATGATGAATTGCTGCCATGCCCTCTTTTCCATAAACTACCCAGTATCTTTGTTAACCAAGGTATTAACTGGTTATCTCAAGATTGCAAAAGAGAATATAAGTGAAAGCTACAAACATAAACCGAAACAAGTACCATAAGATAATTCAACTTACCAGGTTTTGTGCTTCAAAGCACATTAAGATCATTCCAGTTCAGGATAGAGAACATTTATTAAACTAACATTATTTATCAAAACTTCTGCTAGGGAGGATATTTAGCTATATCTCAACTTTGATTAGAATGTAGAAACTTTAACATTTTCATTATTATTATCTATCAGGTATATGATCAGGTAAATTCTCCAAGCTGTAACTGGCTTAAGTTGGGAGAAAAAGTAAGTGTCAAGAGTTATGGATGGTCAAAATAACCTCAATTTGGTGAGGAAGGGATATGTTTGGCAGGTGTCATATCCAAAATGTGTCACATGATGAGGAAAGTTCTGGACCTGATGCCATAGTTAATACTTGATATGGTACTTACAGTATTCAGTAACGTGAGTATTGGAGGGGGAAGATGATCATGGATGTTCCACAATTGTTAGGGATGGCATTAATTTTCATTTTTCAAGACAGAAAAAAGAAATATATAGAGGTATCAAGGAGGTGACACCCATGTGGTTGATATGATTGTGGTTGTTGTCAATCTCTGTGATTGTATATTGGATTTTATAAATTTCTTTTCTTTCATTTTCTATCTCCCCATACCCTAGTCCATTGTCCTACATCACTTTACCTTACTCCTAATTTCTACATTGTCTTTTTTTTCTAATCCCTCTCTCATTCATTTTGCTATCCTTCTGTTTTATTAACCCTAAATTCCTCTAAATTATTCTATATCAATTACAATCAAAGTATATCCGAGAGAACATTATAAACGTAGGTATCAACAATTAGAAATAAGGAAACCCCATTTATCATAATGCTCAATGAACATTTACAATTTCGATGAAAGTTTAAAAGCAATTCCTTCCTGATGCTTCACTGCAAGGGAAAGAAATATGTAAAAGCAATAACTTTTGGCATTAAAAATCAGAAATTGAAAGGCTTTATACCGATGAAGAATTGCTGCATGTTCGTCATCAGCTGTGTAAAGTACATATTGTCTAGCGAAAGCATTTCCAAGAGAAGTCACCCAATCATTGTCTTGAATCACATCCAAAGATTCTGCAAGAAACTGTCACCCATATGACAAGGAGACATGTCAAGAATACTTGGGTCAGTCAGTATCCTTTAGACTAAATAACATCTCCTCGTGCAATATCAATAATAGGAAAATTCATGCTAAGAATTTACCCTGTTTGAATGCACAATTGCACTTGCCAAAAGTTATGGTATTTACTAAATAAGAACTTTCACTTATTTGGTTCCTGTTATCGATGGAAAAAATAATATAAATCAATCCATTTAGAGGTTATGATTCTTACATTAATTATCATGTCATCCCATCTCTCCTGATATGAAGGGTCTGACTTCAGATCTTCTGTATCACAAACATATGCCTTCATTTTTGGAATCTAGAGCTTACCAAAGATGACAATCCATTAGATTAATTGTTTCTTGCATGAGAACACAAAAGAGAACGAAATCTTAAAATAGATTGATTGAAAGGAGAGCACTTTGTCTATTATCTGCTAAATAATATAATAGTACATTGGAAAGTTTACTGTTCCTTAGAAGAACTAATCATAAAATGTTAAAGAACTCTACAAGTAGGAGGATAACAAATTTTGCCAAGGTGTATCATAGAAGAAAGAGAAATTCTACAACCAATAATTAGTCAACTGTGGTTAGGAAGACGTTTATCTTTATTTTCTTATGCACTATGCAGTTGCGTATTAAGATGTTTATGTTCTGCAAAGAAGTATTCTATAGTTATATGTATTGGGGCCATGAGTATTAAGTCTAAGATAAGTATAGTTCCCAAATTCTAGGAAGGGTGTCCAGTTGTGTATAGGCTTTGGACTATGGGGTATGGGTTGTTGGATATTAGTTGGATGATGTCGAGTTTGGGCAGGGATGAATTATGAGCTTGGAAGGACATCAGAGGACAGAGGAATCAGGTGGACCTCCTTCCGTCGACTATCTTTTGGGTAATTTGCAAAGAGAAAAATTGAAGAGTCTTTGAAAGAATTGAGGAGGAAGAGAATTTTAATAGAATTAGAGATAGATTGTTTCAAATGTTTGGTCTTTTGATTATAGGTCATCCTCTCTATTTTATGGAGGAATTTGTGAATCTTTTTGACATTTTACTAGAAGTTCAAATATTTTGTACATGGTAGCACCCCCTTGGTCCCTGTTAATATATTATTCCTTTTATTTCAAAAAGTATAGTTCCTAAATTTTAGGAAATTAGGACTATTGAAGAATGTATTTATATAGGGTAAAGAGTATATTAATAATATATTTTCCTCTTATTTACAAAATTTTGAAATTCAATGAAATTCATACTTCATTCTCCATATGGTATCAAAGTTCTAGGTTTTTAAAAAAAAACAACAAACTTTTTAAAATCTTACTCGGCCTTCATTGCTGATATAAGAAAACCCTAGAAAAGGCCAGCCCACCACAGTCCAACAGCTGGCCACCATAAGATCAACCATCTCCATCATAGTCTGCTTTCATAGTCAGTCCTAGCTCCCAAACTGTACAGCCAAAAGCCAGCTAACCTTCATAGCCAGCCCTAGCCTCCAAGACACAACAAGCAGCAGCCACCACCCCAGCCTGGGTGCACTTCCCTGTCCAGCCAAAAGCCACCCGCAACTTCATGCAGCCGCCAGCCACAAATCTGTCTGCATGCAGGTCTCCATCTCTGTCACTCCAACCTCTAGCCTCCAGCTATACAAGCAAGTCGCGCATTCAGCCGCGCTCATTTCTGTCCAGCCGCAAGTCTAGCAGTTGTTCGGGATTTGTCCAGCCATCAAGCCAGTGTTGTCCCTACACAACTGTATATTTGGCCTTAATTACCCTAAGTTTTTTTGGATATGTTAGAGGTTACTCTCAATCTACAGGCACAAACTTCCCAATAGCAAACTCAGCACAGAACAACAGCAAATTTAAGCCAATCCAAGCTGCATACTGCTTTAATAGCAAAGGTTACTTGAGTTGGTCACAACTAATCTGGACAACTCTCAAGGGCAGAGGAAAGCTGAGCCATATTCTGGGTACTGGACCCCAATTCCAGAGATGCCACTTTTGATGCTTGGAATGAAAAAGAATAGATAATATAGTCTGACTTTGGAATTCTATGGCACCAGAGATTAGTAAAACAGTTATGTGTTTGCTAAAGTAAAGGAGATTAAAGATTCAATCTGAAAAACTTATTTCAAGGAAAAAGATGCAGCTCATATACATGACCTAACCGTCAAATCCTGGCCAACTAAACAAGACAACAAGACAGTCACAAAATATGTCAACCTTTTTGTTGACTACCATATTTTAGTAGTTGAGTATTTTACTTTATTATTTAATTAGTTGATATTATATAATTAGAATTTTATACGAATAATAATTTCATATACTTAAGAGTTTAGTAAAATAAAAATTTTCTTATCAATAAAATAGAAATTGTATAAATATCTTAAATGTAATAATCTAAGGGTGAGAAATAAAATTATTATTTTTTCTCCAAAAATTTACATGGTATCAAAGCCAAATAAACTTATTTTAGTGTTTTAATTTCAATATTTTTTTCAAACACTAAAACAACAAAAATAGGATGAGTAAGAAGAGAGTCAAATCAGATGAAGAGATGACAGATCAGAGGAAGCGAGAAACAACAAAATAGACTGAGTAGAAAGCGAGCCAGATCAGGGAAAGAGAGGACAGATCAGAGGAAGGGAGAAAGCAGCCGGTTTCTTCCTCCACCGCGCGCAGAGACACGCAAAGAGCAGTCAGTTCCTTCCTCCACCATATGCAGAGCCGCACGACCGAGTTCCTTCTTCCGCAACGCGTAGAGCCACGTGTGACTACTTCGATCTACGAACCAATTCCTTCTTCCTCCGTGGACAAAGCTGCTGGCCGCGACTCACCAGCCTTCCGCATTGCACAGACCCGCGCTCCGGCCATCTGCGTACGCATGGACGCACAACCTTCTTCTTCTGCTATGCGCAGAGCCGCATGCGGGAATCTTTTTTGGCCGTGATCTACTTCACTTCGCATACGCATTGCTTGTTGCGCCTTCGTACAAGATCGCAAACGCGATCTGCTTCATTTTTCTAGCCACCATGTACTTTAGATCTGCTTGACTGAGGAAGCCGAAGCGCGAGCTGAGCCATTGAGCCGAGCCGATTTCAGCCGAAGCCAAGCCAAGTTTCAGTCTGAGTCGGGCCGTTTTTCGAGCCAAGCTGTTTTTCAAACCAAGCTGAACTGAGCTGAGCCGAGCTGGACAATCAAACTTATCTAATTTCAGTATTTTTCTATCCTTTTTGGCTACTTTGGTGCAGAATAAGAAGTCTTTTTTTCATTATTGGATATTTTTTTTCTTCTCTTTAACATTCTAAAATGATATAAGCAAAAAAGATGATATTTTCTTATTCGAATAACCCTTCATTATAAATTAATCCCGTAAAACTTGATGGAACCAATTATATTACTTGGTCAAAATCTTATTGATTATTTATCAAAATTTGATAATTGCAGGATTACATTATAGGTGATATGAAGAAACCAGATGTAGGTGATTTAGAATATAACATATGAGACTCTGAAAACTCTTTGATAATGTTTTGACTCATCAATTTCATGCAATCTCATATTGCACTAATATATTTGTTGTTTGATACTGCAGCAAAAATATAAAATGCAGCATCTTTTACATACTTACAAATGGGTAATAAACCTAAATTTATGAATTCCGGAATAAAATTCATTGCACAAAATAAAAAAAAAATGATTATTTCACAATATTTTTCTGAATTGAGTGGATTATGAAAGGAATTAAATTATTATCAAGACTTTCAGACATATTATCCTACAAATGCAGTTAAATTTCAGAAATTGATATAAAAATAACGAACTTATGATTTCTTAACTGGTCTGAATATCAAATATGATCGAATACGGGTTCAGGTGCTTGGTAAAGATTCTCTTTCTTCAGTATAATGAATTTATGCTTATGTCCAATAAGAATAAAGTAGAAGGAATGTCATGTTTTACGTAGCACCAATTAAAAAAACTGCATTACTTGCTCAATCTGACCAGTTCAAAGATCTATAGAAGTGCGACTATTGTGAGAAGCCAAAACATACTAAGAAAACTTATTGGAAGTTGCATGGAAAACTAACCATAGGTCATGGAGAAGGAATGATGGACCTACGAGAGCTCAAGAAAATTTGGTTGAGGTAAGTGAAACACCTGACACACCAATAGTTGAAACCTTTTTAAATGAGGAGATTCAAACCCTGAAACATATTTTGTCTCAATTTAACTCTTCATCAACTATTGGAGCAACAAATCTAGTAAAATCATAATCTTTGAACAAGAAAGATGCTTGGCACTGGTAAACTTCAGGATAACTTTTCAGAATTTGATCTGCAAGTTGGGCATGAGAAATATCCCCGCACCAACTTGAGATGGGGTGTTGACTACCATTAGTTCTCCCAAAAACTCAAGGTTAAAGCATCTACCACTTGAATGTAGGTGTGAGGAAGGAAAAGAGAATACGCTTGTGAGATGGCTTTTCAAGGATTATAGTGAGAGATATACCTTCCTACAAATGCATTCCAAACGTCCTCTCAATCTTGTGGATGCTTCTGATTACTCTATGCTACAAAGAGTCTGGTTTCCTCAAGAATCGCCAAAGCCATTTAGCCAATAATGATAAGTTTTTCAATCTAAGATTCTCAATCCCCAACTCTCCTAAATTCTTAGATTTACACCATACCTCCCAATTAACTAAATGGTCCTTATATTCCTCATCAAACCGGTGCAAAGAAATCTTCTCATGTAGCCTTCAATCCTTTCTACTACTTTGAGGGTTTAGAATCTTCTTTTGATAGATTTAAGATCTTTTGTTTCAAACAGTAAGTTTTTGTTAAAGGATCAACATTGTATTATATTGAGGATCTTGGAGATCTAGTAGATATTTGGTTAGATATGTAAATATAAATATTTTTGTATATAGTGCACCTCATTGGTGCTTTTTGAATAAACTCAATTTTTTTCTTAAAAAAATGCGTATCTGCAGCTGAGAAACTAAAGTAGACTAGAATTTCTAGTAACATTTTTATCAAACGATGAAATACCTCATCTTGCCAGAACAAGTTGATATTCCTTGGAAAAAGAGGTGCCAAATAACAAAGAACCTGCAACTCCAGTACAAACAGTAAGCATAGTCTATGAAAATAAGCAGTAAGCAAGGAAAATGTTTCAGTAGTAAAGAATATCTTATAGATGGCGGGTAACCTATTTTTATATCGATTATTTTAAGATTTTTGAGAGGCTAGCAAATGAAAATAGGATATCTAGGATTGTCTTGAAAATATTATGGAACAAAAGTAAAGAACAAGGGGACAAGGAAGACTATAAGGAAGATATTATAGACTACTAAAACAAAAGAACGGAGATTAAACACTAACAAATATTTCTTAATTAAATGTTGTCTACTATGTCTAGGTTAGCAACCTTTCTATTGGCACTAGTACCCTAACAACAATTAACAATGAAAATATCTTTGTTGAGTTATATTCACAATCATTAGGGAAAAAGATTCATACTGTCAAAATCTGAGTTGCCAATTGATCTCTCGCCAGAGGATCATGCAAAAGAACCACCAAGCGGGCAAACAATTCCTGAAATTATCATGTAGAACACATATAAATTACGAACATGTATCCTCACTTAGAAGACAAATGATCAGAACTAAACATAAAATAAAAATCAGAATTAATTTCTACCTCAGGATTCGGGATATCATCCCGAGCTTTACACTCACTGAGCATGGTATTGTTAGAAGAAGATCTATGTCTGCATAATTCCGAGATGCATCTGCAAACCTGTTGTAGCAGCATATATGTTGAATAAAGAAGAAAAGAGTTTATTAGTTCAGTTCTTCACAGCGAATGCATACGAAGTTAACAGATTCGAAAAAAAACTCAATGAACAACGTAACAATTCCATTATTATACCAACATAAGCACTTGGGCATAAGCTTGAAGAAACATAAGATACATTATTGCTAAAACTAATTGCCTGCATTGAAAGGGATAAAATGTGAAGATGTAACCTACCGTGGCAGCTGCACCAGTATATTCCCGCGGTACGATCATCTTCAACAGAAAAGGCCAAAGAATATGCTGCAGAAAGTTTAGAAAAGGATCAAAGATGTAAGAAACTAAGAAACATGATCGAATAAGTGCTTTAGAACAATAAGGAAATCACTATGAGAGATTTAATAACAGAAGAAAAAAATCTGCATACCTCCATTTCAGGGATTGTAATAGTCAGCAAAAGAAGACCCTTTTCACAAATTGCTCTTAGCTGTGTTAGACAAATTGATCCCATCTTCACCTGAGAAAACAGGTAGTAAAGATTTTTGTCAAGGATCAGATTAGATTAAACTCAAACAACAATCATAATATTTTTAAAGTAACATTTGGGAATTTCATAGACAAGTGACAAATTGTAGGATAAGTTTTATTAGGAGGGCTAGGAAAGGTATAAATTTGTTAAGGATGAACTGGAGATGTGGAATCAGGAAGTTTTCCAGCAATATGCAAATCAAAAAAGCAAGAAATCTTCTGTCAGATAACCCTTCTAGATATGCTTGAATCCAAGAATGGTCTATAGGAGGATCAAGAACAAAGGATATCATATTTGCAAATTGACAGTATTCTCTTAAATGGGGAGATAAGTTGGAGAAAAAAATCACGATTAAAGTGGACTGAGTAAAGAGGGGTATGCTAATGCAGGTCCCCCCCAATTAAATAACAATAATAATAACAATACAGGTCTTTTCCACTGGGTCAGTAGGAAGAGGTATACTAGTTTAAAGAGCTGAAACACGAAGATGGTAGAATCAAGAGGAATTCTCCATCAACTGAGATGGAGATCGTTAGTTTGTATTAGAAGTCATATGAGGACAAATATGCTAACTGGCTATCTACTGAGGGCTTGGGGTTCTTACATTTAGAAGCAAAATCATTATCTCACCAAAAAAAAAATGCACTTCTATTTTTAAACCAAAATAAAGAAAGCCCACTTAGAAGATACCAATTGATGCAGTAGATTATTACAAGGTCATATTTTCTTTCAGCTCTTGGTTGTATATTTTTCTCACCGAGAAAAAACAGAACCTAAAAAAATGGCTATTAGGAGGAAAAAGAGAATAGCACAGAGAGAAGAGATAAGGTATCCTCCTACAAAAGTAAGGAAAAACAGGAAAAAAAAACAGAATTGATATAAAATTCAAAACACAATTCACATTTATTAAGTTGGGTGGGAACTTTAAAATCTTGTGCAAAAAAGAAAACCAATTTGCACCTTTAAACTCACCTTGGAGCTCTCAAGATCCTCATCCGATATAGCACTATGACGTACAAGATATTCAACGAACAACTCCCCGGACAGACCAACCAAGTAGCAGTGTGAAGCCATAACCACAATCAACTAACACCAAGCAACAAAATCTCAAAGAAGAAGAACATTAAATAATAGTACAACGAGTGTAAGATTTTTCACCATACCTCTGAAAGAGCCTTTCGGACACCTAAATTTTGTTCATCTAGCAAGGACTTCACGGTATCGACAAGCAAAGGCCTTTTAGTGTGCCAAGCTTCAGATGACCTCCAAATGAAAATCAAATAAGTTAGGCTATGTTAGAATTAATAGTAATAAAAACTGAAGCAAAAGAAAAACCTGGGTAGGAGATGCTTTAAAACACAAAGAGCTCCAAAAGTCAAAGGTTCTTCTTTTATCCTGCATTTCTGAGGAAAATATGCACACGGTTATTTAATTCCTATAAACTGAACACTAACTAAAATTTCACTCAGTCTAAAACAAACGACAATTATATCATTCCTTGCAAGAAATAATCTTCTGTTAAAGCCAACCAAGCAAGCTGGAAAACAAACTTACATTCAGAAGGAAAGTAAATAATTCCTCAGGATACACCAATCCAACAGACAGAAAACAACGTTGAATTTCATTGTATGTCTGCAATACAAGCAAAAGGGTTACACAAGTAAAGAGAGAAAACAAAATGACAGGAGGAAGAAAAAAGAATGTAAAACCAGAAAGGAAGAGTTGGAAATTTATTCTATTCAATAAAAATCAAATATTCTCATTAAGATCACCATCCTGGCCACAAGTTTACCTTCAATCCAACAGAAAATTCTGAGTGGTCTTTGCTGTCACTATTAGTGCAGACAACAGGAAGAAGTGTTGAAAGTACAACTGTGAGGTCCTAAAGAAAACAGAATTAAAATTTCAAAGACATATTCAGCATTAAATAATGTATTTAAGATAATTAAAAAAATTTCTCATGGAAAATTTGGGTGAGATGAGAAATTGGCAACTCATAATTGATGGGAAAACAGTAAATCAAAAGTCATCGATAACATACAAGGTTGGTTCAAACCAACCAATAAATTCATGTACTCAAGTTTGAATTTCATATAATACAGTGTATGCAGAATCCCTGAATTTTTACATCCTCTTCAATACCAAATAAACACCTATAATATGAACCAAGTCTTTTGATAATGTTTTATTTAAAAAAATGCATTTTGACAATGCATCACATACTCACCAATAACAAAAATAAAAAGGTAAAGAGTGGGGAAAAAAACAGAAATCATTGACACCTCAAATGAAAACCATCATTAACATGCGACTGCTCAATCTATCATCCTCTACCAAAGGTAAAAGTAACTTATAAGGATTCGTACAACCCGCCTCTCTATAAAATTCCAGAAGAAAAACAAAAACGTGCAGAAGAACCTTCAAAGCAAACGGATATTTGATCTGAGTTTGAATTAAAAATAAATTTAAAATGTGGTGATGGGTATAACACCACTTCACCAAAATCATATATCATAAACGAAACCTTACCAAAGAACCTAGAATCTAAACTTGAGAAATCCAGAACAACTGTATAGAAAGAATAAACTGAGAAAAAAAAATAGTTGATACATAGCACATAGACAGGCAGAAAATTGCTTTTCTCAAAAGAAATAACAATAAGACAGACAAATTTTACTAACATGGCTTGTTTTGAAACTTCACAGTGCCACTGATGATTGTTCAACCACATGGTGTGCTCTCTTCAAGGAGAGTTTTGTGCCATATTCCCACCTTTAATTTTTTGTTTCTCTTTTTGAAGTGTGATTTAATTGTTAAATGATGTCCAGATTTTCCAGTAGCATTTAGAGGAGAGAGAAAGGAAGGAAGCGCACATCTTCCAGAAGGTCAGTACTGCT